TATTGAATGAATCAACTAGTTCGCTTTTGCTACCCTTGAATCTGCAATCAGACAAACCTGAACCGGCTGTGGATCGGGGAATGTCATGTGCATCCTGCTAAGGAGGCCTCCCGGTATGGTTTCGTGCTAAGCAATCAGACAAACCTGAACCGGCCACGGATCGGGGAATCTCAGGCGAATCCTGAGAGCCGGGTGGCCGGACACCTGGAAAGAATGCTTAAGGAGACCTCCCGGTATGGTTTCGTGCTCAGCAATCAGACAAACCTGAATCGGCCATGGTTCGGGCGATCTGGTGGGAGCCGGGCGGCTAATACTTAGCTGATTAGCTATTCAGCTATTGATGCATTAAGAAATTAGTAATGAGTCAATGAATCAATCCCTTTCCTCATAATAAATTCCTGATATGTCTTCTTCCTCATTTAGACTGCCGTGACAGGACTACCTATCCTCAGGGTGGTAGGCCAGGTGCGATTCTGAGGGGGTGGTGAAGAGGAAGAAGAGGAAGTTCCTGAGGAGGACCCTCCTTTCGAGAACTGACTTGAGGAAGAGGCAGCTCTCGTCGAGGAACTTGAGACTCCTGGGAGGAAGCCTCAGTTTGGCTTCGACAAGTGGTTCGGGTCGCCTGAGGCGAAGTCCTCAGCCAAGCCAGTGGGGGAGACGAGTATCTCTGGCAGCTCAGGGGCCACAGAAGGCTGAGCTGGAAGCCTTGTTGCCTCAGGCCGACCCTAAGGAAGTCTCAAGAAGGAATCGCTTTTCAGTGTCGCGACTGAGACGAAATTGTTCGAAGGGCAAGCGAGGGCCTCGAGGTCCTAAGTCCGAGCTCACAGCTGCAAAGAAGCTCGTGATCCTCGAGCGGCTTAAGGCGGCAAAGGCTGAGTACGATCCTCTGGACTATAGGAAAGTCATGAGTCGGGAGATCGGCCTCAAGAAGGAGCAGCTCAGCCACATCCTCAAGAACGAGGCTAAGATCAGGGACATCAGCAAGCTGCCTACAGGCAGAGGCAAGAGGATCAATAAGAGGAGGAAGAGAGCCTCAGGTGCCAGCCGTCCTAAGCCTGATCCTGAGGTCCGTGAAAGACTCGGCAACTGGCCTGAGCCAGAGAGCCTGCGGTGTCACCGTGTCTCAGACCCTGCTTGCTCAGGAGCTGCTGGACCGAGCTTCTTCATACCAAAGTCTGAGTCCTCTCCAGGTGGGGAAGCTGAAGCTGGAGGCTGAGCATAGGGCATACGCTTGAGAAGATTGCAAAACTTAGCCTGGAGGTGAGTGCTGGAGGAGCTGGACCAGGTATCTCCTCAAGTGGCTGGCAGCTAAGCACTTGACGACTGAGATGGTCCAGCCCCTGGATGAGCATGAAGGAATTCGACCACAAGCTGTGGAGTACCTGCTCCTCAGTGGCGAAGCTGAACGATGCCGCAGTCTTCGCTGACCCTAAGGCCTTCTGCGAGAACCGAGAGGACCCGGGCCGCAAGGCCGTCTGCAGCAAGGCCGTCTTCAGGCCAACAAGCAGGACTTCTCTGAGGTGAGAGCATCTATCGCTGAGGTGACCCAAGGTCAGGAAGCAGCCGGCCTCATAGTCGGTCCCATCAAGAAGAAGCAGCCCCTCAGGCAAGCACCGCAAGTGTCAGCAGCAGCACCCTGAGAAGAGCTCTGAGCTTTGGCTCTGTCCGCGGCCATTCCCATTGCTGTGGGTACATGACTCGAAGGTGCAAAGCATCAGCGGCCCGACGAAGAGCGATACTGGGAGCTCAATGAGGACGAGCGTGCACGACTCGTGGAGGAGATAGAGCCCAACGCACCTTACAGATACCTCCTCCTTTTTCTTGCTGCTTTACTTGCAGGCAAAGCCTTACCAGATGCGGTCTTCTGCGCAGTGTAGTTTTCGGCATGCTGCTCACTCGCTCTTGTTCAAGCATTGTTCATGTTGTCTGTGAGAGCATGCATGACCTCTTCAGTTAAGGTTGGCACTTCTCTCTTTCGTTGTATGTCTTCACTCAATGTTTGTGGCGGCATTCGTTGTACACGGGCATTGGTTGCATTACACACAGCATCCTTCGACTCGACTTCTTGAAAATTTTTGCTTACTTCTGGATGTCTGTGCGTCTTTACCGCCAAAAGGAGAGTCCGCCCTCTGTATGCAAGTCGAAACGAGTTTTTGCACTGTGTGGCTAGAGATACAAGGTTTATCACTGTTTAGAACGTAGGGGATTAGCAAGAAAAACACAACATTTGCCGACTCCGGAACAGTGCGTTTTCATGGCAATCCCCTACTCGCGGCTGGTTTCGGACGCTTTCGGACGCAGGCAATGCGAGCAGCGAGTTGCCGCCGCTGGTAGGGGATTAGTAGCAAACAACACACATTGGCCGTCTCCGGAACGATGCGTTTTCATGGCTAATCCCCTTGTAGTGGTGGGTTCCGACGCTTTCGGACGCAAGCAATGCGAGCAGCGAGTTTCCGCCGCTAGTAGGGGATTAGTACCAAACACACATTCTCCGCCTCCGCAACGCGCCCACGTGAGTCATAAAAGAGTTGACTGCTTCCATACATGGTATTATTGTTTATTAAAAACATGATGGTTTGCAATGGACTTGAAGATCTACATCAATTCTCTGAGCCCCGAGTATCTCACTAGAAGGTCCCATTTCTTTGGAAAAAGGAATGAACATGTGATGACGGTCCTTTTGAAACGACAAGTCTAAGTGGAGTTGCCCAAACGGATAGCAGAGGGCCACACCCATGAAACTGAAAAGGAGTCGGCAGTCCTTACAGGAAGGAGCATGCCACCCGCGCACCCGAAGAGTCGCGGCCAAAATTGACAACCGAAAACGGAGACAGCCAGCCGTCAACCCAAAAACTTGTGTGTGTTTTCAGCTGGAATGGCCATTTGTGGCTAGTCGGGAACCCGAAAGGAGCGGGCAACAACTGAAGAGCGATGCCCCCCGCGTGAGCACTATCAGAAACCGCCAGGAGTATGGAATGAAATTCGGCTTGCGGAATGCTTTGCGGCTCGGTGGAGCTTTGGAAAAACGGAAGCCATTGCTTGCCCCGACAGGCTTTCAGGTCGCTCGCTTGCACAATCTGACCCGAGATTCCAACAAAGCGGTTTCCAACCGCTGAGTACAGATGCAAATTGATCCAGGGGTCGGGCTTCAATGGAATACTTCCACAGGCCAGGGCTCCAGCCAATTGCCGCAGCACATTTAATCTCAAGTGGTCAAGCAAGAATACGGCGCCCGACACATACCATGTCCGCAGCCGCCAAGGACTTTTCTTTCATGCGTATGGTTGAAGCCATGCTGTTTGCAGCCGTGATTGCAGGTCGGAAGTGAGCCCTCATCCGGAAATCTGACTCAGAAGCTTTGCGCTGTTGAGGGCAGGGTTTCTGCGTTTTCCGGCTGAGTCCGGAAACCTCAACCCCCACATACGTTTCTTCAGACTGCCGCAACTAGGTCCTAAGGTCAGGATTGAGGTTTGGATGGCTGACATTGGATATCTGTTGCATAACCGTTGGTCGAGATTGCTGGTTTGGGTTTATACACGGTTTGAGCTCATAGCCCGAAATCTTCGACGGCTCTGGCATGTGACAGCCCATACGCACCAAGATTCGAGAGTCCTGAATTGAGTGGCTTTTGTAGGCTTGCTGAGATCTTGGGGTTCAATCTTGCATGCCCATCCCACGCAGGAGATAGCGCACGTCTTCCGCTGGCACAGAGCCTTCGCGAAGCTCAAGACTCCCACAAAGGAGGTTCTTCTGACTTTCACCAACCCTAAACACTTATCTAGGAGTACCAGCCCCTAAACTCTAAGTTAAACGTTCCCATGGTCCGAGCCAGAATTTCTAGTTCGCAACACCGTAGTTGTGGCAGTGACCTGTGCAACTCAGACATAAGTGTCAATCCACACTGAGCCAGGAGAAGGTCTCTGCAAAAGGAGCCATCGGTAACTTGCTTCAAAACGATACTGCCTCTAAGAACACCTTTCGCCCTAGGAAAACCAGTAAACAATAAACACCGGAGTTATGTTGGATTTACTGCTTTCATCCGCCCTGGAGTCTTCAATCGGTTTGATCAGGAGTCTTCGGCCTAACAAACCCAGCATGAAAATGCAGCTTGAAGCCTTGAAGCCACCCTAGAACCCCATCCAAGAACGGCCAGCCCTGTGCCCAATTCCATGAAATAAATGCTGATGCCACAAGCTTCGAATCGCCTCAGCCCTCAACTTCACCGCAGCGTACCCTAGAAGTCCTGTAGTGAGCTTCCCTGCCTTGTCTGAGCAATAGCAAACCTGCTTATGTGCAGGTTGATGCCCTCTCGCGCTACACGAACTTCACGCTAGGCCACGTGTGTCTTTGCTCCAAGCTTCGATGGCTTGGTTATGATTCTGAGCCGAGAAGGCTTCAGCCTCAAGCCCCAAGATCCCGAAGCCCGGTGAAGGGTCGTTAGGATCAATAAGATGCAAAGCGGTCATGAGCCCGTATTGTTGGAGTCTTCCGTCGGAGCTGCATAAGGTGGGAGAAGTTTGACTGCCAGACGACACTCCTGACCAAAGAGGCGCGCTGCGACGTGCTGGGCCCCGAAGTCCGTGAAACTGAGTTCTGAATAATCTATGGACCGCAAAGTGCAGCAAAGTACCTCGCCATGTGCCGGGCTTGCTTGGCTCCCCGAGCCGATCGGTACCTAGTACCTAGATTTACATGCCCTCGGACCACCTTCCAGGTGCTTTTGCTGTTTAGATTGGAAGGCCATTACAGTTTCTGTAAACCTTTCGGGAGATGTCGAGTGAAAGAGCCGAGAACCTCAGACAGAGATGTAAGTAGCACAGCTTCCAACCTGCAAGGGAGATGTGGGCAATCAAAGACTGAATGGTAACTTTGTTTGAGATGTGGTAGAACAGCTCAAGACTCAAGATGGTAACGCGTGGATGGCCGGTGGCAAACCTGAACCTTACCAAGGAGGGCATTTCAGGGAGGAGGCTTAGAGTGCTAGTTCGGCAAATGCGGATTTCGGCTTCGGGGATCCTTGATGTCATTTACCTATTCGACGATATTCTTTCCAAGGTTGTTTGTCTTCTTCCAGCCAGCCTAGCCCGTTCTGCGTTTTGGTCGGCCTTCCCGTGATGTTGAGCCGTTGGAGTTCTCTCGAGGCGCTCCTGCCCCTGGCCAAGCGCAGCTTAGCAGCACTGAAGACGCACAAATTGTGAGAGCTTCCATTGAACTTGAAATGTGCGAAAAACGCCCTCGACTGCGAAGCCGAAAGACCGATATGGAAAATACGGTAAAACAAGGGGACCATGCGAACCCGCTGGAAAATGGGAAAGATATGTCAACATGTTTCTTCTTCGCCTTGAGCACGCCGAGGAATGGAGGCAAGAACTGGAATGTATGAAAAGTTAAATTTTCCATAGTTTCCCGCGATTTCATATAATGTTTTCCAGATCTTGCAGCAATTTTGTTCCATATATGTTTCTATAGTTTTGAACATTTTCTAGCGGTGGGCGCTCTGATGTTTGCCAGTTTGTGCATACTCCCTCTGCCATCGGCTCGATGTTTTCCTGAACTGAACTGTAGAGTGCCCCCAGCCTTTCCTCAGGTCGCAAGACGCCTCTGCAGGTGTAACACCTTAAACCAAACTCAGTGATCTCTGGTTCGAGAGGTTCTTATCGCAGCTGTTGGCAGTGAGACTGTCAGGTAACCCCGAGCTTTTTGATGTTGATCTGGACAACATGAACACGGTCAGGCTCTCCCTCATGCAGCCGACACTTGCCTGCGCTCGGTCGCCAGCAGTGAAGTGATGCAGAAATACCGCCAGTCTCGTACCCTACTAAGGCAAAACCTGCATGGTGATGAAAATGGACAAAGTCCACCGCACCCTATGAGACAATTATGATGATCATGAAGAATTGAGCAGCGAAGAGCCCGATTCGGAAATCCACCACCTCAACACCCTTCGCCCGTCATGAAAGGCCTCTGTGGTGGGTCATGCTCTGTTAGGCTCCGTTAGCGCCTGAAGATCCTTCTGAGTCTGTCAGAGAGGCCAGTCTTGAAGAGAGGGCTTTTAGGTGTTTCCAAAGGCCCATGCATCTTTTTCACACATGACCCAGCAGCCACGAAGTACTAGGTCACTGGGCCCTAGGTTTTGTCGTGACAATGGCGTCGTGATTGCTTTTGACGTGCAAGTGCCGAAGGCATCAGACATTGGGTTACTCGGGCTCCAGGTCTCCGGTGTATCTTTTCGGCATGGTTTGAAGGCTTGGGTTTAACTTATCAGGATCGTTGGGGCTGTATTTTTTCCACAACCCCCGCGGCACCGAAAGCCTAAACCCACGGCCCTACCAAGCGCAACCAACCCAAATCCGATAGCGACGGCACACGCCAAACGTGGAACCATGACGTGCAAGGAAGAGCAGCCCACTGGGCAAGTGAATTTCCTGACGCGGTGGGCAGGGGCGGCATTCTGCTGAATTGGAATTGCATTCAAAGGTTGTGATAATTGGCAGTTTGCGTGGGTTGATTACAGCTTCAGGGATTGTTTGGGGTTCGCGGTACTGATTCAGATGCAGCAGAAAAAGGCGCCCCTGCGTCGAGCCATAGCAGGCCGCGAGCGCTCAAGTGCTGTTCCATTCCTCCTTGGCCTTAGCTGGGAATGATAAACTGCAGGCTTGAAAGTTGAAAGGCCTTTGTGTTTTGTTGCTGCTTTGTGTTTTGTGCTTGCGGTGCAGATCTTTCTGCTTGAGGTTCCACGTCCAGTTTGCATATTGGGCCCAATCAATGAGCCAAAGTATTTGTCCACCTCTGCTTAAGCTTTGGACTTCGTGCTACAAGTAAAGGCTGTAAAGAGTTTGACCGCAAAGCCAACAAACCAAACTTACCAGTTGAAGAGTGATTTGTGCACCCCTGCAGCTTGAGAGTCTCATGGCAAGAAGCTTGCAAGCTCTTGAGTGCCGCGGCCGTGCAGAAGGATTTCTTACATTGACGTGGTATGGATAGAGAGAGATAATGGCTGGTGTAAAAACGCAACTGCTGTGCTGCGCCGATCTGGCTTCCGGGCACCCGTACTGCTGAACTCGAACAGGATCCTCACCCGTAGGCGTCCTCGGCCCAAAGTTTAAAACCGCAAGACCTGAAGTCGAAAAATCTAAACTAAACCCATAATTCGGCCCGCTCAAACATCGTTATGTCTTCCGGATGTAGCTGAGCGTCCCCTCCCTGGCTCCGTCTGTGGAGTGGACCTGGTCTTCTTGGTTGGCTTACCCGGCTTACCCGTTTGAGCTTTCAGCTTCGGAGTTTAGTTCCTACCCCGCTTCTGTGGAATGGTTGAGTGGGCCTTCTCCCAATGGTTCTGCGTGAGTTTATTTCAAGAGCTTGGCTGTGGGACTGGATAACTTGAGAGGCCTAGAGACTAGCCTGGTGCTGCAGAATCTGCAATTTCGCTGATGCTCGCATAAGATACATGTAGGCAAAGCCAACAAGCATAGTCCTGTTCAAAAAATTTCGGTTCAGTTCTTTGCTAGAGGAAAGCTGGGAGGAAAGCTAGTGAAGAACAAGAAAAAGGTAAAAGACCAAATATTTCTGAAAGCAAAGCTGGACAAGGAGGCATTGGGTATAAACGCTGAAAAGGAGCACGTTCATTGGAGCGCTGGGCCATGGAACCCCCAGCCAGCCGTGGGCAGCCCTCAAAGCTCGTGGTTCAAGAGCACCCCTGTTACCCTTTACACCTGCTTGCTGGGCTACCACGTCTGGAAAACGAGTTGAGTTGCAGGCCATCCGAAGCACTCACAAGACGGGTAAGCGACACCCGAAACCTGGAACCAAGAGTGGCACAGCTGCTTCTCCAGTTTTTCTGGAAGTAAGGGTGTCCGGCTGGCCAGAGTTCCGGAACAAAGTAAAGGCCCTTGGATAGTGTTGATCTGTTCCCAACATAACAGTTAACACAAGGGGCCCCAGGACCCCAAGAGCATGGCTTCATAGCTTCACACTTGCAATAGGCCAAACAAGAAGGCCATCTCACCCACGAAAGTCAATAACTCTGCCACGTCGTGCTGAGAGCCGCGGTATACTGTGAGCATGGCTTGCACGAGAACAGTCTTTCGCGCGCGCACGCGCGCGCGCGTGTATATATGAGTGTGTGTGTGTGTGTGCGTGTGCACCCTGATTCTAAGCTAAAGGAAATGGCAGGGTATTTTAATTGCTTGAACCTTTCAGAGGCAGGGGGTGCCAGGGGATTGCAGAAGGCTGGCACCAACGAAGACCTTTCTGCTTTCCTTTGATATCGACTTGGGACGCAAGTCGACGTACCTGCCAGGGTATATTTTTGAGATGGCCACCAGGCGAAGCCGAAAAACTTGGCAAGCCGAGGTTTCAGTCGTCTTTGCAATCGTTTGTTAGGTTTCAAGACACCTACTTCAACCCCTACAAGATCTTTTTCCTTTCCCTCAAGATCTTCCCCGGAACACTGTGGATTTCGTCAACTTTATGTTGACCTTTCAAATCCGTGTGTGGCCTTGTTGCCAACGGGCAACAACCGCTTCTACGGACTGCCAGGGTACGTTGTGCGGCCCGTTATGGTATCGAAAGAGCCGTACTTTTTCTGGACAGGCTAATGGAGCGTGCGGCATTAAATGGTGGCCGCTTTCCCAGGAGGTAGGCCTCTCTCGCTCCTACGGGGCCACCTGAACAATGGTGCCCCGATTGGTCAGGCGATGGGCTTTCCCGACCAAAAGGTCCTCGGGTGTCTTTCGAGTGTCATGGTGCCCGGGGTGAGCTTGAGATATGAATGAGCGTGTAACAGTCAGCTCATGGAACACAGCCCTGATTCAGGCAACTTTTCGGCTTGCATTGTTTTGCTGTCACTGCTCTTGTAGTTTAGGGTGCTGTCATGGAGCCTTCGCCCAACTCTCCCATCGTCGGCCTGGATATCTTGCAGTGTCCGATTGAAGAGATAGCACCGGCTGCTTCAGAAGTTCCTTTGCCGAACTTGGAATGGCATGGAATTGACATTTCCTCATCACCTCATCACCACAGGACTGCACAGGGCGGTCTTCCCAGTCTAGCACGTCCGAAGTTCCTTCGGATGCCAGCGACAAGTCTGTTGAACTTCGACTTGCAGGACTCACTGTTGTGCGTACTCCTAAAGGGTTTGCAGGGACTGCTCTTATGGAGAAGAGAAGACGGCGGAATCTGTTGGGTGCAGTTGAAATTTCGGGTCATCAGGCAGGCACTTCTGATGATCCAAGGGGAACTTCCGACCAGGGAGTTGCAGACACCGGTCTTCGGACCGAACGGTCCCGATGCATACCTTCAACTGATGATGCTTCAGATATTTCAGTCTTGCATGATTCGGCAGTCTTGCCCATGCTTGCCCGCCCGCGCGTTTGCGCGCCTGCGCTGCGGTTGCCAGTACTTCGCCTGCTGCTGTGTCGGCTTGTACTCAGCATTTCAAATTGCATTAGCCTATGCTCATTGGCGCCAGGCTGCATGCACTGCAGCCTCAAACCTTTTCGGCTAAATGCCGGGCAAGGGCGGCAATAGACGGGAAGGCTTGTTGGAGGGTCAGAAGTGGGCTAGCTAGGTGCCCTCCGCCTCCAACCACCCATTTCGGCC